AGAGTAGAGAGAGAGAGAGAGAGAGAGAGAGAGAGTCGCTGGTGGGTAGTAAGTTTTTGTGTGATTTTTGGTGTGTTTCTGTATGTTATTGTGCTTCGGTTCACTTTTCAAATGCTTGTACCTTCTGTGTTTGTAGTTCATTCGTGAATACACGACCAAGGTGGATGAACTCGTGAAGGACAAACTTGAGGCACTCACCGAAACGAAAGTCAAAGAAAAAGAAGAGAAGGATCTCGTTGCCCAACAGGTATTTCATTCATCCTCTTCTCTATCAATTTCAAGAATGGAAAACTGTATCTATTTGTCTTTTTCTGAACGCCTCTTGTTTTTTTGTTGTGCAGAATATGTATGCTCAGTTGCTGCCTCTCGCCCTGCCTGCTCCTCCTATGGCAGGGATGGGAAGTGGTTTTGCACCACCACCACCCATGGGTGGCATGGGGATGCCCCCAATGCCGCCCTTTGGCATGCCACCACCGCCTCCCATGGGTGGTTACTGATTCTTTTTCATTGGTGGCTGTAGCTGATGAGAGATAGGTTCTCGCGGCGACAAATATCATTTTGTTGTGTATTTTGATGGTTGATATTCTTTTGGTAGCAGACTTTGTTTCTTGCTGCCCGTTGGTAGGGCCAGAGTGATTTAGGTAGGAAGGAGGTTTGTGTTTGTTTTATGATCTGGCTAATTGCCCGTGTATAGTCCATAAAACCACTTGTGTTGAGCAGGCTCTTTAATTCTGTGGCATCATCATTTGGGTGAGATGATAGTATTTAGAGGCGTAGTCGAGGAAGCACTTTGATGGTTTGGTTTACGTTGGGGAGTGAAGTTTGGCGATTGAAACCTTTTTTTGTACGAGTATCTTTTTGATGTTCAACATCCTTCTCTGGCATGCATTGTTTTGGATGCTTCCATTGAGATTTTGAGGGCAGTTTATTGCTCGTTTGGCTCAAATTTGTGGTTTGGATCATGGTTAGTACTTCGCTTAATACATGACTCTTTCACACCTCTTAAGAAACAGGTATTTTCTTCAAGTACCTTAGAAAATATCACTTATGTTTTAGAGAAAATGGCGTTTTACGTCACTCTCTCTTTGGATCTTCTACTTGTTTCTTCTCTTTTGGTTTTTTGAGGGGAACTGTCTTCTCATCGGTGTTTCTGTCATTATCTGACTTTTTGTTTGTGCATTTGATTTTCTTTTCATAGAAATTGGTATATGTACTTCAGCTTGAATATAGGGTTTTACCTGAATTTCGATTTAGTATTCTAATATTTAATTATCTACATTATAGCTAGGATCTTCTTTATTACATGTAATTCACATTGCTACAGGTAATCCTTAGTCAAATCCACCTTAAATACACGCATATGACCTGCCTCTAGTTAAGTCCCATAATTGGAGGCAAATATGAGCCTTTTTCAAAGTTCTTTTAGTATTTTGTATATTTTGGCAAGTATTTTTTCCCCTTTTCTAGGACAGCTGAATTAATAATGTTGATTTTGTTGCTGACAAATTTATTGATACTTTGAATGTAAATTTGTTAATTGCGGGTTGGATGTTACATCTCTTTCGTGTCTTAGGTAGCAGTAGGCATTTTCGGTAACCACGACGTGATTCCAAATTATTGGATCACTCACTGAGCCGTTTGTGTCTTGTCAAGTCAAAATTGAGGTGGTCGTTAGACTATATTTGAAAAATATAAGAAAATAAGACTACTAGGTATTAACTATGAATTTTTTTAGGAAAATCATTTTTGTTACTGTTCTACTGAGCTACTTTTTGGCATGTTTCGGGACGGTTTTAGGGTGGCTATAACCCTAGATTTGGGGCATTCCAAAGTAGCCAAGAACAAACGTGTAGACCATATTTGTTACTTTGTACTGTTCGGTTATAAATGCTGTTTGGGAATGTAATGTCTGTGGATGTAATGTTATGAATACTCTGGAAAGAAGTTTGACAAATATAGATTCCCAGCAAATTGGAATTCTATTTCATACCTATAAGTTTGACAAACACAGATTCCCATCAAACTGAAATTCTATTTCATGCCTGACAAAATATAGATTCCCAGCAAATGGGAATTTTATTTCGTACCTACATTGCATTGAAATTGGTTGCCCACAAAATGCCACTAATTTCTGTAGTGCTGCTTGGGGAGCTACTTTTTCATTATGCTTATTTCTTGGAAATTGAGTGGTGCTACTTCCCCATTCTATAGGCAGGGGAAAGAGGCTGCTTTCTAATGCAATTTCCAATGAAACAAACGTATGGGTTCACAAGGAATCCACCCAAATGGCTCTAAGAGAAGGCACACAGGACCTAATAAGCATCGAGTTTCTGAACCTTTTTACCTCTCTTGTCCCTCATCCCCACCCACTCAAACACGAAAGGACCCTCCCTTTCTAAACCGAAATCTCTATTTAGAAAACCTATACGAGAAGCTATTACAGCTGAGGATGCTTCGGAACCTAGCAACAATACCCAGCCCAAGGAATCCTTCATATGGGTGGTCTGATGCGCCACAATCCCCCCACACCCACATTGACCCACGGATGACTTCGGGCCCTGTGTACGCACATGCCACGTAAACGCCCCCGCCGGCCCAAACCAAGTGGGCATCCCACATTGCCGAAGAAGCAGCTATGTACAACCCACTTACGAAGATGGTAGGCTCCGATCTCCATACAGTAGACCCACCCCCTACCGATCATCATGCCTTGCTCCATACAGTAGACCCACCCACCTGGACCAAGGGCCACATCCTCAATGTGGGTCATGGGATAAGGGATGTTCTCGTGTCTGGTGGTGCACCATGCCTTATTCCCTACTTGACAGGTCCATATTTTCGTGGCTGATCCTGATGCTTGGAACAAAATTACAGTGCAGTAATCCCTTCTCGAGGGGGGATGAAGGTGCCCTTGTCGAAAGAATCACAAGAGAGCGGGGGCAGGTCCATCCGTGCTTTAGAGAAAGGATTCAGGTAAAAAATGATTGACCTCAGTTCTTGTTGAACACAGAGCAATAGCCACCCTCGCATGGATTTGAGAAACCAAGTCCTGCAAAAGTCTGAGACGCTCACGGTATAGGTTCTATGGGTTATTGGATCCAGCAAAACCCTTCAGTCATTGGGGGCGGTAAGCATGAGCCATGGGAGGCCCCGTGGTGTGGGCCCGGTAGTAGCCCTCGAATCTTTACAGACAGCCATGGTCCGTATGATTTCTGGCAGTGTGAAGCCCTCCAAGACTGAATTCAGGACATTGCAGGACAGCTTCGACCACAGTCCTTCGCTACATTGGGCCTGGTCTGTGGCTCCTATTACCAGCTTTGGTTGTGCAGGGGTTCCGTGCTCCCCGGGTCTTTTGATGGGCAACTCTGAACATGGCTGCCATTTGCTTAGTTGAGCCAGACCTTCTCTCATGTACTTTGTTAGTGTCTCCTGCTTCATGGCTGCTTCTTCTTCCTAGCTACTTTGAACATGCCCAAGAGTTTCACTGAGGAAAGACTCGAGAACAATTTAATGAGCACTCTCTACTTTCTCTACTTCCAAATTAAACAAATGGGCAAGATCTGCTTTGAATAGAGGAACTTCTTTTAGTAACCATACCAAGAAGAGCTTTACTTTTGAGTTTGAAGACACTTCTCTATATTACTGAAGCACCTGTACGGAAAGGAAAGGCTAAAAGCATGCCATAGTTCAAGATGGCAATTTAAGAAAAGGGTGCTGAGAAGTGTGGTTTCAATATTGGAAATCTTTGTGATAACCTTAAAACATATTTTTATTTTTAATTATAAAATTTAATTCTTCAAAATAGTGTAGATCGAATGGATCTATGGAAACTTGAAAATTGACGGTCTAAAAATATGCTATAAGATGCATTGTTTTCAAAATATAAAATCTATTTTTTCCCTATGTCAATACATCTTGATGTCGAGATGATCAATTGAAGATATTTGGACATCAAAACAATATCTTCCAGTGAAAATTTTGAGGTGGGTTTTAATTTGATTGTTTAGAGACTCGGCTCTATATAAACTTTTTCCCTAAGAAAAAGAAGCTTAGAATTGACACTGCCAAAGGAGAGCATCCCATCCGTGTTTCTGTTTTTTACTCATTGCACCTAGCTAGAATGTTTGATTTTGGTAAGCTAAGGTGCTCCATCTTCTTCCCAAAGAAGGGGTTATTTTTTTGAGTAAGTCAGTGAGGATGAGGAGCTCTTGCCCTGTTTTTCAAATAATCAATTTTTTTTTTTTTCATTTTTTAAACCATTAATAGATTGATGAGATTGATGGAGGTCAAGTGGGACTCAGTACGAACCCATCCCCATTCCCGGAAAACACATTGTTTTGGAAGCCGCAATTCAAAACAAACGTTTAGCACATATTGTAATTTTGAATCTGAAGTACTTCTATAACATTGTTTTGAAGACCATTTAGCATTTCCTGCAATCGAACATGGAAATTCTACAGTTTTAATTCTTCCAGCCTATTTCAGAAATCAATTAGAATGCAAGAAATCAAATGCGACGAATATTAGAATGCAATAATAACACTAGACAAAAAGAAGAAGAAGAATGCGTTTTAAGTGAAAAAAAAAAAGGGGTATGCATCCCAATTCCTATTAAGAAGCCCAAGCCCTTCACCATCAATTTCCCCTTCACCTTCAACTTCTTCTGCACTTTCTTCAAGATCAAAATGTAAATATGTATGAAGCAACACCAACACCTGTAATACAAGTGCATCATCAAAAAAATTGGTCAACGTCTTCATCTGCATACCCACCATTGCCGCATTAATATAAATAAATTTCACATTTATTTGTCTACTTCAACACTGAACATTGTGTACTTTGGCGGATGATTTCATCAAGAAAATCACCTCATTAAGTTAATTAGAAAAAAAAGGAAATTTACCTACAACTCAGGTTTTTTTACTGTTATAAGGGTATGACCTGAATCAATGTTGTATTATTTGGAAGGATATATCAACGAAGTTTTTTTTTTTTTGCTAAGTTTGCTCTCGATCCGATGTTTTGAATATCGGACAGCTTTATTTACCCCCTAGAAAACTTGCTCTCTCTTTTCTCCCTCTCTCCTTCTAACGCTCTCTCTTTACCTCTCTCTACCCACAAGATCCCAATTGCGGAGGTCGCATTCTTCAGTTACTCTCTCTACCGACAAGATCCCAATTGCGGAGGTCCCATTTTTCAGTTATTCGTTACTCTCTCAACCCACAAGATCCCAATTGCTGAGGTCACATTCTTCAGTTACTCACACTAAATATTCTAAAACTCGGCCGAGGCAAATCGGACTCGGCCGAGTAACTCGGTCTCGACCTATAAGACGAGGTGAATTTTGAGCGAGTTAATTGTACACAACGCTTTTAAAGTTTAACTATAATATCCCATAGGGGAGGCGAGTTTTCCCATAGGGGAGGCGTAGCACAAATTCATAACAGATATGTTACGAGAAAAGCTACTCATCGAGAATCGAGCCCGCCTCTTATAAAGAGATATAAGACGCCACTTTTACTTTACTAATAAAGGAGGTACTTATAATATATGTAACCAGCGTTTTAAAAAACGTCGAGTGGTCCGGTTCGACTAGGAAATAGTGAAAAAGGAACCGGATCGCCCAAAAATCGGAAATCGTTCGGTTCTAGAGAGAACCGGACGATTCTGTACAGTGAATCGCCGATTCACTGTACGGAATCGGCGAGTCCGAACAGTGAATCGGCGATTCCGTACGGTTTTTTTTTTTTT